GTATCCACAAGGAAATGGGCAGGCCGAGGCATCCAACAAAGTCATATTGGACTGCTTGAAGAAGAGGCTAGAAGGCGCCGAAGGGAAATGGGTGGATGAACTCCCCGGAGTACTATGGGCTTATCGCACCACCAAGCGAAGGTCGACTGGTGAAACCCCATTCTCCCTTGCCTATGGGACGAAGGCGATCATCCCTCCTCACATCACAGTCCCCTTTATAAGCCTCGAGGTGGGCAGTGTTGACCAGCTCCAAGCAAATGAGGCTCAACCTTGACCTGCTTGAGGGCGAATGTGAGAAGACCATTATCCGAGTCGCCTCCTACCAGCAGCAGTTGAAGTCTTACTACGACAAAAGAGCTAAGGTCAGATAGTTTCAACTAAGCGACCTTGTGCTAAGAAAGGCTTTCATCACCGCACCAAGACAATGGTCAAAAAAGATGAATCCCAACTGGGAAGGCCCTTATGTGATTAGCCGGTCTGGGGGCAGAGGAAGCTACACATTGGACACCATGGATGGGAAGCAAATACCACGACAATGGAATGTTCACCATCTCCGAAAGTATTATCCATAATGCTTCCTCATGACTGCTAGAAGTTTCAAGTTTTGTACTCAATTATTTTCATTTTCGAATAAAGGACTGTAATCTTATGAATATCAATATAAGTTCAGTTTCTCATTCCAAAATGTCTTATCTGCCTACAAAACACAAACAGTTGCCCATAAGCAGCGTCCTAAGGGAGACGCAGGGCGACGACCAAAGTGACCTTCTGGAGAAGCAGCCCGTAAAAAGCGTCCTAAGGGAGACGCAGGGTGCGCCAGGAATTTCTTAAAAGGAGTTCTCCATGCCTTCTGCGGGAAGTATCCAGGTTCCTATCCGTTTCCTAAGGGAGGCAGGATAGACACACAGTTGCCCATAAGCAGCATCCTAAGAGAGACGCAGGGCGACGACCAAGGCGTCCTAAGGGATGTGCAGAATATGCCCGGAGCCTCTTAAGGGGGGCCCTGGCACTCGCTAACTTCCTAAGGGAAACCATCCTAAGGGATGTGCAGCACACGCCCGGAGCCTCTTAAGGGGGGCCCTGGCACTCACCAACTTCCTAAGGGAAACCATCCTAAGG